ATAATGTATAGAATTTAAAGAAAATAATAGTTAAAAACAAAAAAAAAGTATATTTTAAAAAATAAAATGGCATCACCAAAATTTCAATCAACAGATTTTCAAACACCAATTAAAAAAAAATGTCCATCATCATCATCATCATTAAGTTCACCATCATCAATATCAACAACATCAACAAATATTAAACAACGTTCAATAACTGATAGTAGTAATAATAATGATGAAACAATAACAACAATTAAAATGGAAGATGGTAATGATGAAATTAAAATATATTCAGCATCAACAATTAAAAAAAATGAACCAGATGATGATATTGATGTTGATGGAATTGAAGATCGACTTTCGCCTGTTGTTGAAGAACCTGTAAGTTATTCATATTAAAAATAAAATTTATTATTTTTTTTTTTGCGTTTATTTTTAGACAAGTCCAAATAAAAATGATGCATTCAATAGTAGTATTTCTGGTTTATATGCATCACCATTTCTTTATCCATATTTTCATCCAATGTTTCATCCATATTTAATGGCTGCAGCTGCACAAGCAAATGCTGCTGTATCATCAACAGTAAACATATTTTTTATTGTGTTAGTTTCTTACAAAAATATATATTTTTTTTGTAGGATAAATCATCAACAGATGGACAAATGCCTCCATCTAATCCATATGGCACTGCACCTTCAACATTATCTCCATTTCCAGGTTTTAATCCAGGTAATAAAAAACAAAATTTTGCTATGAATACAAAACAAATCATTTTCTTTTAAAGGTATGCCTTTTCCTTCGTTATATCCGCCGGGAATGGCTAATCAACCATTTCGACCAAATCTTTTTAATCCATTTGGTATTCCGATTCCAACACCCGGTGTTCGACCTCCACCACCACCATCATCTTCATCTTCATCATCATCTTCTAATCGTCATCATCAAAATTATGATGGATCTTCTCGAAAGTATGATATAATAAATTAATAAATAAGTTCATTTTTTTAAAAATTCTATTGCACTTTTAGTCTTAGTGCTCTACTTGATGTACAACGACCTAAAAAACCTCATATAAAAAAACCTTTAAATGCTTTTATGCTTTATATGAAAGAACAACGTGCACGTGTTATTGAAGAATGTACATTAAAAGAATCATCAGCAATAAATAAAGTTCTTGGACAAAAATGGAAAGAATTACCTCGATCAGAGCAAGACAGATATTATGGTAAAATTTTTCAAAAAAAAAGATAGTTATTTCGAAGTCAATTTTTTGTCATATGAAATATTTAGAATTAGCAAAAGAAGAACGTAATCGTCATATGCAACTGTATCCAGGTTGGTCAGCACGTGATAATTATGGTTTAAAAAAGAAACGACAATCAAGTGGTCATACACCAATATTAAATAATTCACATAAAAAACCACCAAGAGAAAATAATTCTATGGTTAATAGTCCAGGACAGTTAAATCATAATAGTCCACATCGTTATGGACATCATCAACAACAACAACAACAACATTTAATTAATAGTTCACATATGAATTCAACAAAAAATCCAATGCAATTAGAGAATGGTAAAAATATTTTTAAGAAAAAAGTTAAAAAATTTACGAAATCCTGTTTTTTTATTTTGTTTTAAATAGATTGTTTAAATCAAAAGAAATGTCGTGCACGTTTTGGTTTAGAAGGTCAAAGTCAATGGTGTAAACATTGTCGACGAAAGAAAAAATGTACAAGATTTCTTGAAGAAGATATGTTAAATCATGCAAATAATAATAATAATAATAATCATATGATAAATAATTATCATAATTCATCATATAATAATCATGGAATAAATATAACTAATAATAGAAATTCATCATCAGTTAGTTCACCACAAACAAATCAATCTGATAATGATGATTCAATGAATGAACCTGATGGTGATGATATATTATCCCGACAAGTTGATTCAATTGAAGATGATGATGATGATGAGGAAAATGATGATGAACATCATACAAATGATGATGACAGTGATGAAGAAAATAAACAACAACAACAACAACCTGTTTCACTTGTTTATAAACCAATTCCATCTAAAATTGATTCTCATCAACAATCATTTCAACCACCACCACCAGCACATTTATATCAACCTTCAATGTTACCATCTCATTTTGCACCTAACTTTCATTATTAAAATACAGTTGTGTTTCTTTTCTTTTTTTCTTTTTCTTTTTCTTTTTTTTTTCTGTTGAAGAAAAAATTTTGGTGCTTCATCTTTCTTCGTTTGTAAATTACACTACTATACGAAATTCTTTGACTCGAGTGACAAACTTCTCTTTATTTCCTGGTTTTTTTTTCCTCGCGATTTTTTTTTTGTTTTCTTCTAACTCTGTACTTGGCGAGCATGTGAAAAGTCTTGTGATTTCGACATGTGGTTTATCAATGAAAAAAGAAAAGGTCTTGATAAAAAAAAAATATTCAGTTTTTTTGAAACGAGGATATATAGTAATCTTGAACTAGTGGGAAAGTGATGTCGTTAAACTATGAAATTGATTCCTTCTTGAAATTGATTGCATTATTAAGATATCAGGAGTCGATTGTCATTCGAATTAGACCATTAGATCTCATTCAGGTGCATGAGGCTGACTTAAAACTCGATATTATCTATCTTCTATAGCCTTATGAATGCTCTTTCTTTGCTCTATCGAATGGCATATAGAAGTATAACAAAATATTGTTCGTTCTCTTTTGCTTTTAAATGAGATTGTTCGTTGGTATATACAATCTGAGGACACACGCGACAAACTCCTCCACTATTGGACTGTGAAAGTAGTGATCTTCTTGAATTGTGTATATCGTTCGGTATGCTTTTCAAAGCTCTAAAAAAAGATATTATTGCGCTGAGATTATGTGCAATGTTCATGAGTCACAAAAGTTGCCCTTTTTTAACTGATAATTGATGGATTTTGGTCAGAATAATCAGGCTTCGTATCAAAACAAATAATATATTTAGTATCAAGATAAAAAATGAATTCGATCTATATGCGCCACAAAATCTTTTGATAACTTTTATTTACAGCTCTGGTCCGCTCAGGGTTACGTCGTAAAATAAAGTTAGTCACAACGTCAGTTTGACAGTAAAAATCACTTCTAAATTTTTAAAAATTTAGGATAATCTAAAATGACAGATAAATAATAAAAATAATGTTGTGACTGACTTTATTTTTCGACGTAATCCTGAGATGAATCATGGTTGAAATTTTGAACGAAAATAAAAGTTGCCGAAAGATTTTGTGATACATAAAGATTGAATCAATTTTTTATGCTGATTTCAAATATACTGTTTGTTTCAATAGGAAGCTTGATTACTCTGACCAAATTCCATCAAGTATCAGTCAAACAAGGGTAACTTTTGATACTCATGAACATGATGCGTTTGATTAAAGTGTCTTGACTACAAATTAATCTCACCGCAATAATATCATTTTTAGAACTGTGAAAAGCCTATTGAATGATATATAGTTTATATTGAATCGTTGCTTTCACAGTTCCATAAAGAGGGGGTTTTGTCATGAGCGCCTTCAGGATTATATAAACACTGCATTGCATAATACTATAAAGAAGATCGATAATATCGAATTTTGAGTTAGTCACAAGCAGTCGGAATGAAGTCTAGCGATCTAATTCGAATAGAAATCGACTACTGATAAATCTCAATTGACTATTCTGAGAACAAAAAACTCAATTTCGAGAGAGCGCTGACATCATTGCTTAACGAACTCTTCCTTTATATTGAATCTACTGATAACAATTGATCGAAAAATTAATTATAAGGTTAAGAAAAAATTCGTTTTACTTAGCAACATAATCAAAATTAGTAAATTTGTTATTGAGTTAACAAACTTTTCAAAAAATCTAAAAATAGCATCGAAATTCGATTCTGGTTGGCCACTGCCAACAACTCTTTCGCCGATACAGAATTTGAATCAAATTCAATCATATGATCTTTCGACAGCAACTATCGAACTAGGTTCAAGTTCTATACTCAATAATGATACTCATCATCATCATCAGAAACTATCAATATGGGTCAATGATGAATCATATTTTGAAAAGCTTCGATCTACAGCTGAATATCGTCAGAATAATAAAGTAGAATCATATGTGACAACATCGAATATGTCAAATTTACTTGAAAATTTTATTGGATCAATTCAACCTTGTACTACGTGGTATTCAGACGATATGAAGAATATGAAATCACAAGTAGCTATCGTCTTATGTCGACTTGAGTTACTCAAACAAAGTTCTCTTAATAATGGAATGACAAAATCAATAGAAAATGATAGATATGAATACAGTGTACATCAACAATTTGATACATGTATTTTGCCAATAAGAACATCACATGGAACAGTATTTTTTGATTTTTCGAAACAATCAATCAACTATGATATTTATATACAATTAATGCAACTTGTACGTTTATCGAATTTAGATAAAATTATTGAAAAAATATTTCATAAATCAGGTGATTTGAATTGATCTATGCTGTTTAATATTCAAATGATTAATAAACTTGATGATTATAGGAGAATATCATCATATAGATTATAAAGAACAACGTCAAAAACAATTTGAAAAAGAAAAAAATAATCATGAGAATTTATCAGATCATCACGTTTATCAATTAAACCAAAATCTAACAGTTAATCATTATGATTCTCATTCTATTTTATCAAATTCATCAAATCATAATAAATATCAATTATCAAACAATAATGATTTAATGTAAAATAATTTTTGAATTCTCTTTTGTTAATATGTATTTATTTCAATTTTTATTCAATTCTAACAGAAAATTACATCAAACAGATAAAAATAGTTATTATATAACAATGGCTAAAAGTGTACATTTTCGTAGTTCAAGTCATTGTTTTGTGCTTGATAGTATTGATATTTCATATCGTTTTCAATATGATCGAAACATTTTACGAGATACTTGTCATCACTTTCATAGTTATGATAACATGAAGTAAGTTTCGAATAGTAATTAAGAGAGTAATCATGAGACTATCAAGTACACGAGACACTTGATTAAAAAAAATCTTCTTTTTTTGTGTATTCCATTCATCGATGTCTGAAACTACTAACCCCAAAATTTTAGCGTCCAATATCCTTTCTTTCAGAAGTTAGTCAACATCGACTTTTTACTTCTATCATATGCTTATGAGGAAAAAAAAGGCAAAAAAACAGTATTCATCGATTGAAGTTTAATAAAGCTAACATGAATGAAAAATGATTCTTTTAATGAGTCTACAATGTCCATTTGATAACTGTCTATTTTCTATAAGGATTCAAAATCAAAGAGATCCAAGGTTAATCTACAGAATGATTAAAAAAAGTGTTCAAAAATAAATGGTACTTTCAACGTGAAACAGGATTCACATCGATCTTTTCCATAATAATTGTTGACTGGTTTTCAATAAAAAAAAAAACATTTATAGCGGTTTTCATTACCATGGCGCAATTTTAAAGCAAAATAAATATGATATTCGGATCCAATGTCAAAAAATACATTGAGTCAAACACATTCTAGAGAAATTTTTCTCCTGCAAAAAACTGGCCTCTGGGAGACAATGGAGCAAAATTTTAATGAAATACAGCCATGGGCAATCACAGGTCAGTTTTCCTATAGACGAAAAAATGTCTCTAGAATGTGTTTGACTCAATGTAGGTTTTGACGCTGATTTCGAATGTCATATTTATTTTGCTTTAAAATTGCGCCACGGCAATGAAAGCAGTTATAAATGTTTTTCTTTTTTTATTGAAAAACCATTATATGGGAAAGAGATGTGAATCACGTTTCACGCCGAATATATCACTGATTTTTGGAATATTTTTTTATTTGCAAAGCATATATAAAATTCACCTTGAATTTCTTTGATTCTGAATTCTTATAGAAAATAGATCGTTATCAAATGAACATTTTAGACTCATCCAAAGAGCCATCTTTCATTCATGTTAGCTTTATTAAACTTTAGTCAATCAACACTATATTATATTGAAATAGCTCGTTTTGTTCAATTATTAATTCTCTATCTTTTACCATAATTTATAAAAAAAAACAAATTTGAATGATTTGTTGAAACGAAAACAATCACAACTTTTAAAGGGAATTTTGTACTGTTTTTTTCTTATAAGCATATGATGGTGTTAAAAAGTTGGTAGCGACAAACTTTTGAAAGAAAGAATGCTGAACGCTAAAATTTTCGGGTTGGTAGTTTCAGACATCGATGAATTGAATACACAAAAAAATCAAGTACCTTGTATACTCGATGGTTTCATGATTATTCTTTTAATTCTTTCATTCAATGTTGAATAGTTCAAATAATATACAAAATGAAAATAATGATTTATTACAAACTAAATTTATGTTAGATGATAATCCGTTACTATTTCGAACTGGAATCAATGAAGTAACTTATGAACAATTATATTCTTCTATGCTTGAATTAGATGTTAATTCAAAACGAATCATTCATTTTATTCTTGTTTTATGTACATACAGAATGAAAAAAATCTATCAATTATTAGAATCATTATTGAAATCATATGTTTCACAAAATATTTCTATTGTCTATGTTACATTTGATGAGATTAAATCATTTTTAATCAAATATGAACAAATATCACATGAAATTCTTCAAAAAGACATTTTAACATCTGTTACATTGCAAAATTCTCATAACACATCTTCATCAACTATGTCGACTAAAAAAAATATATTCAAACAACACACAATTTTATTTCAATCAGTTAACTTTAATAAAGAATTTAATACTAATGCAGACGTCAATAATGAAAACATAATAAATTCAATATCTGAGTAAGATTCTTTCCAAAAAATAATCAATGAATATCTATACAAAGTACTTTTTAAATTCAGGCAAGATATTCTCAATCTATCCCCCAAAACAGATAATAATACAATAGAAAAGATTGATTTATTCAATGAAGAATTTTTACTTAATTATCTTCAAAAATCATCACTTGTTCTTATATTCATGAAACATTTAGATGAGACATATCTCAATGCAGTATGTGTAGAAGATTTTCATAAATTTTACAATTCTATAGCATATAATTAGTTTATTCGATGGTATACGGAAGTTCTCATCAAATCTGATGTACATTCCAATCAATCATTCACATCTAGTTGGAATAAAGCTATTGAACATTGTTGGCTTGTAACAAGTGATTATCAACGTGCTCAAACAGTTTTTAGTATTCCAAAAACAAATTTATTTCTCTGGCCAACTGAACATAACGATTTTGATCATATATCAATTATTATTTCATCGATTCTTATTCTACCTATTGCATTAACTATTAATTATGAGTTTGTATTGATTCTTTTTTTTTGTCATTCGAATTTCATAAAGTAGAAAGAAAAAAAAATTTAGCAGACCTATATTTTCGAGATATTATCTTAATAGTGATAACTAAAATGAATGGAAATAGAAACATTCAAGTAACTAAAAAGGATTTCATTTCGAAATATATATTTTCTAGGTTTTCATTAAAATTTTTCGGTAGCTGATCCTTCGGAAAACCAAGATTCCTCTACAGCAGTTTTTTGAATTCGATCGGAAGCATTTTATATATGAACACATCTAATAGTGCAAACATTCTAAAGCAAAATGAAATGTTCTTGTGCTCTCTACAATTTTTCTTCATCAAACTATACTAATGAAGGAAATTCTCCAATTGATAAATCGCTTTTTTGAGTCAAGATTACATATATTAGGTAAAATCAACTGAACTATGAATACCTAGAAAACAGTTCAGATCCTTAGCTTATTGCTACCGAGATACTGCACTTTTACGATAGTTTTTAAATGAATGCCTTAGTTTCCTTCAGAAACACTAGAAAAACTAATTTCCGAATTTTGACTTGAAGCTTCGCATAGATACATTCCCTAACAAAAAATAGTTTCTTGTGAATGTTTCAGATCTTGTCGTTGTTCTTATCTTAAGATATATATGTGGTAAAAGCGTGTCTTTTACAATGCTCATATATTTATAATGGTAGATTCGGTGTTCTTATTTTAGGATAGAAGTGAATTAAAAAGTCTGAAACTGTCATGATAAACTATTCTTGTTAAGACCTGTTTTTGTATAAAATTTCAAGTTGAAATTCGAAAATCAGTTTTTTTTTCTGATGTTTCTGAAGGGAACTACGGCGTCCATTTAAAAATTACCATAAATTTACAGTATCTCCACTACAAGAAGCAAAGGATCTGAACTCTTTTCAAGATATTCAAAACTCATTTGGGTCTATATGATGCACATAATCCTAACTCAAAAATACTTTCCTCATGAATCGATAAAGACTTCAAAGCGTACTATACGGTAAGCTTTTGAAAAAAAGAAACAATGAACAGATAGCTTCCACGCCTTGATCAAATTAAATGGTCGTGGGGCAGCTTAGAAATATTCCATTTTGTTTCAAAATGTTTTCGATCAAATTCAGAAAACTGATTCGGAGTAATCTTAGTTTTCCAAAGAAAAAAAATTCTTTTCGATATTCAGATCTGTTTTTATCATTCGTTGTCCTAATCAGCATCATTAAGAAAATATTTTTTCATAGAATCTATACGATGTTTATTGATGGCATGTCTATTGTTGATAAACATTGTCAAGAAACAACATTGGATCGAAATATTTGTATAAAAATGGCACTTTTACGTATATGGTCAACTATTTGTGAACGAAAAAATAATGCAATTATTACTTGTGATGATGATCTTCAATATTTCGGTAATATATAATGATTTAAAATCGAATGAAAAGATACTTTTCATATTTTAGGTGAATATGCTAAAATGTTATTTACTGAATATGATGATTATATTGATGAACACAAAATGAAAACGAAATTTGTATCTATTCATGGAATGCCATTAGCAAAAACTTTTCTTCAAAAAATATCTAATGATCAAAATCCTTTCTCATATGATTTAATTACAATTAGTGATGTTATACAAAATACAAATTTTGCTAATAAACAATCACCTTCATTAACAACTCATTCTTTCCAGAATGAAGTAAACGATGCAAGTGACAATAATCTATCTGATGAAAAATTATCTCTTAATCGTCATTCATTAGAATTATTAACTATATTGGCCGAGTTCTATGAACAAGAAAAAACATTACAAGCAGATAAAATTTTTCATCCACATACTTTGATCTTACTTGATCAATACACACCATTAACGATAGGTAGTATGACCAAAACTAAATAACGATATACACTAGCTGCTAAAATTCTTCGAACAGATTTATTTTCAATTTTTCTTCCACTGTCGTAAATGCTAATAAGAATCTAAGTAGTGATTTGTGTAGAAGATTTTTCAAGAAGAAAATGATTGTTAGTTTTTCCAAAGGATGGGGTTTCTGAAAAACCAAAACCTTAGTTTTTCAGCTTCTGGAATTCACAGATAGAATTCTATTGGAATTCCCTAGAATGATAGAGCAACAAACAATTCTCTACAAAATGAGGTGTCTTCTAACCCCCTACGATGTTTTTTTCACCCAGATACATCAATCTTATAGAAAGCACAAAAATCGTTTTGTTTTTGTTTTTTTGTAGCTGTCATAAGGCTGATGTATCTCTGTGAAAAAAACGTCGTATGGAGCTGGCCGACATTTCATTTAGTAAAGAATTGTTTACTTTATCGTTCAAAATATTTGAAACAGAATTCTACTTGAAAATTCCAGAAGCTGAAAAACTTTGGTTTTGGTTTTTTCAGAGATCCTATCCTTAGAGAACTAGCAAACATTTTCATCTAGATGAATTTTTATTGGAAATAAAATTCTCTATAAAAATCACTATTTGGATTCTTATTAGCATTTATGACAGTGCAAAAAAAAAACAAATTGAAAATAAACCATGTCGAAGAGGTGTGAGAGCTATTGTGTATTATTCAAATTTTGCAGGTGTTCTTATTGGTGTTTATCAAATATCCATGTTTTTTGAAAGCATAATTCGTGAAAATATTTTTCAACTGAATGATCAAACTAGTCTTCGTCTTTCGCAAGATAAAATTATTACTCAACATCAAGAAAATATTACACAAGATCTAATAAATGAAATAAGTCAAATATATCTCGATGAATAAATAAATCTTAAAAATTGAAGAAAAATATTCAAGTAAATTTATATTTAAAAGAAAACTGTTAATTTGTTGAGAGAAAAGAAAATCATTTTTTATAAATTCTCATCAAAAACAAGATAATTTACTGTATGTTCTTCGTGTTTTTCATTAGCTTTTGAAAGTATATTAATAGCCTCTTCAGACATATTGAAATAAATATTCCATAGTTGTTCTTTCGTTATAAATTCTTCGAAATTTTGTTTTTTTTTCATAATTAAATATTTTTTCAAATGCTTATTTTATATTATTTTGTTTAATATATTTTTCAATAATTTGACAAATTTCTTCTTTATGAAAAAGAATAATTAATTTATTCGAAAGTTTTTTACTCATTAAATACATTATATTTCAAGCTTGATTAAGATTTATTTTATTATCATTTGAATTATTTTCAACAATAATATAAAAATCATTTTTTATTTCATTATTAATTTGTTTGATTTTATTAAAAATTTTTTCTCGACATTGTTCATTATTACAAATCAATTGTTCATCAGATGAATGATGAATATGTTGATTGATTTGATTAGAAGTATTAGATTTGAATGACATGATAGATCATAAATAAAAAAAGCTTGTTAGTGCAGCTCCTTCGGAGCTGAAATGTGGAACTCACGTATATCCTTCAACCTTGCTATCCTAATACATCATCCGTAAACTGAAAAATTTCTCGTCGGCTGTAGTTGTTTTCACTAATAACCGATGACAAGAACAAGAATTTATTATTTATTTCTACATTTATTTCTAAATTGAAAACAGAAATTTTTTATTTTTTCTACGGGCGCCCTATTTTTTGTTTGCATTGTTGCTATTCGCTCATTATTTTTCATTTTTTTTAATTCATGTTTTTTTTAATTTAATATTCTTATTATTATAATCATTGTATCGGCAAATAAGTCTACTTTACATATCCATGATATCTATGGCAGATTTTACGTACTATTATATATATATTAATCAACTCACAAACAATGATGTTCATTAATCTTCAAAATTATAACTTTACCAATTTATCAAAAAAAAAACTCTAGAAAATCTGACATCTGTTATTCTCCATTGGTAAAGTCGGTAATGGTGGATTGTCTGTAATTGGGAGGTGTCTGTAATGAGAGGGTGTCTGTAATGAGGGGGTGTCTGTAATAAAGGGGTGTCTGTAATGAAGGGGTATCTGTAATGGGGGACCTCGTTGCTATGGTCTGTAATGGGGGGGGGGGGGGG